CCGCTTCTCTTCTCCGGACGCTCTCTCTCCCTCTTGGTTACCCAAAGGCAGAAGAAATAAATAATTCAAATTCAAAAAACATCGCCTAGACATTGCTATTTGAAGGAAAGAAATCGATTGCCTCTTTCTTCCTCTGCCTCTCCGCTTCTCTTCTCCGGACGCTCTCTCCCTCTCTCTCTTGGTTACCCAAAGGCAGAAGAATAAAATACTTCAAATTCAAAAAACATCGCCTAGACATTGCTATTTAAAGGAAAGAAATCGATTGCCTCTTTCTTCCTCTGCCTCTCCGATTCTCTTCTCCGGACGCTCTCTCTCCCTCTTGCTTACCCAAAGGCAGAAGAAACAAATAATTCAAATTCGAAAAACATTGCCTAGACATTGCTATTTAAAGGAAAGAAATCGATTGCCTCTTTCTTCCTCTGCCTGTCCGCTTCTCTTCTCCGGACGCTCTCTCTCTCTCTCTCTCTCGGTTCCCCAAAGGCAGAGGAAACAAATAATTCAAATTCAAAAAACATCGCCAAGACGTTGCTCCTTAAAAGGAAAGAAAACGCTGAGGCCAGATTCTGTGTCTAAAGCCGGATTGGATTTGCATAGAGGGCCTAATTAGGGCTCAAATTGGGCTTGGGTCTGCAAATATATATATATATATACATAAATATAATCGGCTTTTGAAAAAAACAATCTAATACTCTCTTAGAGAGCTCTAAGAAGTACTTAATATAAAGAATATTAATATCAATTTTATTAAAATTAAGATAGATAATATTAAAAAATTAAATTTATGACTCTGATATCATATTAAATAATTAAATTTATTATTTTAAAATTTTAAGTTAATTAAAAAAATATACAATCTATTATTTATATGTTAATAAAAAATATTTGGTATGTCTTTTAATATAAATATTAAATTCTTAATGTACAAATGTTTATTGGTGACGTATATATAGATGATATATTATACATAATCTATTTAAAATAATTTAAATATTTTTAAATATACAATTTATCATTTAAAATAAAATTTTCATTATTTTAAAATATTTTACATGTGTTTAATATAAAACATAAATAGATATAATTTAATGACAGATACTTAATACAAACATATACTTATGTATTTATTTATAATCTAAAATTATTTCATTTTAGAAGTTAATAAAAGGAATGCATATAATGTTTCTCTTTTTTTTAAAAAAAAAAAAAAATTACTCAGAAAACAGAATTAATTTTTAACTTATACCATTATATTCGACTATAAGTAGGAGGAGATTCTACCAGCCTTGGATAACATTACTCTTATGTTTATACAATGTAAAAAATCACCACAAAAAAATGAATAATGGAAAAGAACATTCGAAGTTTTATTGTATACCAAATTTTTTTATTTTATTTTATCCAAGGATATAAGATAGTTTTAGGGCATACCAACTTTATACACACCAAACCCATATCAGAATAGCTGTATTCTAACTTTTTTTCTTTCTCCAGATAGTAAAACTTACTCAACAGTAATATAAA